TGGGACTTCTCAGTCTCCATAAACATGTAAGCCAATCCCCCTAATACATCTTTCTTGTACCTCTCTCTGTCTATATCCTATTGGCTCTGTTTCTCTGAAGAACTCTGGCTAATGTGTGTGTTATGTTAGTTTTCTATGTTACATAACAAATAACCACAAAGTCAGTAGTTTTAAAACTACACACATTTATTATCTCACAGTTTCTGTGGGCCAGGAGTCCAGACACAGCTTAGCTGGTCCTCTGCCAAGGGTCTCACAAGGCTGCTATCAGGGTGTCACCTGGGCTGTGTTTTCATCTGGAGGCTCAACTGGGGAAGAATCCACTTCCAACATATTCAAGTTGTTGGCAGAATTAATTTTGTTGTGGCTATGTGACAAGGAAGCTGGGCTTTCACTCAACCTTTCCTGGAGGCCACACTCAGATCCTAGAGGCTGCCCTCCGTTCCTTGTTACACCAACTTCCTCACCACAGCTACTTATTTCATCAAGTCAGGGAGGAGGGTCTCTCTGCAATCTGCTAAAGTCTATATAACCTGGCCGGGCGTAGTAGCTCACGCCTGTAATCCAAGCACTTTGGAGGCCAAGGCAGGCAGATCACCTGAGGTCAGGAGTTCAAGACCAGCCTGACCAATATGGTGAAACCCCATCTTTAAAAAATAATAATAATAAAATAAAATAAAAATAAAAATAAATTTTAAAAAGTCTGTATAACCTAACAATCCACAGAGTGCTGGCCTATCACCTTTGCCATATTCACCCACGCTCAAAAGGAGAGGATTGTAGAAAGGCAGGAACAACAGGAGGTAGAAATCACTGGGGTCACCTTAGAGTCTATTGTGACATTCACTCTTCTACAATAACATGGATATGAGATTCATTTATTTCTGGAAGTATTATATAGGCAACTCTTTGTTGCCAGCCTGCTCTCAGGAACCCAACAAGCTCACAGTGGAGCCCATTATGTTATTCATGTCTCACCTGCTCCCAGCCCCAGGCACACACATTCCACATGGTCAGTCGTGTGCTGCTTGTTCTGTTTGCCCTGCCCCCACTCATTCTCCGTCTTTCTTTTCTTTTTTTCTTTTTCTTTTTTTTTTTTTTTTTTGAGACAAAGTCTCGCTCTATTACCCAGGCTGAAGTGCAGTAGCACGATCTCAGCTCACTGCAACCTCTGCCTCCTGGGTTCAAGTGATTTTCCTGCCCCATCCTCCTGAGCAGCTGGGACTGCAGGTACCTGCTACCATGCCCAGCTAATTTTTGTATTCTTAGTAGAGACGGGGTTTCACTATATTGGCCAGGCTGATCTTGAACTCCTGACCTTGTGATCTGCCTGCCTTGGCCTCCCAAACTGCTGGGATTACAGATGTGAGCCACTGCCCACAACCTCATTCTCCACCTTCCTCCAGCTCTGAGACCCAGGAGACTGACACCACAAACTGCATCACCCCGACTCTGTTGCCCTCTGGCTTCCAGCTGGGTTCACCCACTGAGAAGCTGGAGGAAGAGCTCACAGTTGGGGCAGTGGTATTTTCCTCCAGCTTCAGCTGCCTGCCATAGCTCTCTGGGCTCCTGTAATCATGGCTCCCTCCCTTGCCCCTCCAGGCATGATAAGGGCTTCCCTCTCACTACTCTCTGGTTACATCACCATTCCCTTAACTATGCCCACCTCTCTGTTAGTAGTCCCGACATCAACCCTCCTCAATTACCTTTTTGAGAGTGACATTTGACTGACGGTAACTTGAGCCCAGTAAAATATTATTGAGTGCACCCACGCACAGATGATTAAAGAAATATTCTTAGGCCAGGCACGGTGGCTCACACCTGTAATCCCAGGGCTTTTGGAGGCAGAGCTGGGGGATCACTTGAGGTCAGGAGTTTGAGACTAGCCTGGCCAACATGATGAAACCCTGTTTCTACTAAAAATACAAAAATTACCCAGGTGTGGTGGCATGTGCCTTTAGTCCCAGCTACTCTGGAGGCTAAGGCAGGAGAATTGCTTGAAACTGGCAGAGGTTGCAGTGAGCCATGATCGCACCATTGCACTCCAGCCTGGGTGACAAGAGCGAAACTCCAAATCAAAAAAAAGAAAATTAAGAAAAGAATTCTTAAAAAGCTAAAATTGGATGAAACTATGCTTCAATATCTACTATGTTCAAGGCACGATGCTAAACATGTTGAATAGGTGCATGAGTCCTGTGGGTGAGGGGGAGTATTATTATTGCCATGTGAGACAACAGGAGTTTGTGGCAGAAAATTTCAATCACCTGCTCAGGTTCACGAGCCTTTTAGTGGTGGTACCAAAGTTTTCCCACCTCATCATCATGCTTCTCTCCTAAGCCTTCACACCTCTGCAGAAGGGCTGGATAGAACCAGAAGGACCCGACCAACCCCTCATTCCAGCACCATCTCCCTCAGCCTTCCCCTTGTAGCCCTCTGCCCAACACTTCCATTGACAGAGAGCTTGCTCCCTTTGTGGGAGGAGGGCCCCCACCCCTTGTCTCCAGGGTGGGAATGGAATCCCACGAGACAGGGATGCCAAGGCAGGGAAGCCTGAGATCAACACCAAGGCCCTAAGGAAGCAGTATGCACAAGGCATGTGTGAGGCCGGAGCACAGGTCACGCCGCATACACAATGGGAGAGGTTCCTGAATTCCCCGACTGCTCTGTCTGCAGGAATCTCCTGGGACAGATGCCAGATCAGAGGGAGAGGCTCCACCTGGCAGAATGGGGCCAAGGGGAGAGAGCGGATGGGGTGGGTGCAGAGAGGTGGAAAGCCAAGTCAGGAAGAGACAGGAGGGGCAGCAATCCCAGGCCAGGCTAATCCCCTTCCAAGATTGCCTGCCTGCCCCTCCACTCTACAGAAGCACAGAAGGCTTCCTGGGTTTATCTCACTCAAATCAAGGTGAGAACTTGACCAGCTTCTTTAAAGGGTTTCTAAGGGCTTCTGTGGAGGCTGCACTACCAAGGTGAACCTCAAGAGGGAGCCCATTCTCCAGGGCAGGGAGGAGGCGCCTGCTAGGGGAGCGAAGACGCCTGATGGGGATCCTGCGCCTCACCCTGCACAGGTTATAGGATCTGGAAGGCAGGGACGGTTCCTTTCGTATCTTTGCATCTTAAGGATCCAGCCCACAGCCCACAGGGTCTGTTGGGTGACTGACCAAATGAATAAGACTTCTAGTTATACATTGACTGAAAACTTGCCCTTATCTCTGCTTCTTTTCAAAATCCTACTAATATGCTAACAAATGCATGTTTTAAAGACAAAAAAGACAGCAGATAAGGGGGTTCTAATAAAATTTTGGAAAACAAGGCAGATGGACAAGTGGTAACTTTCTTATGAGAGCAGAGAAAGTTGAAACCTAAATGCTTTCAATGAGGAGGAGGCTGGCCAGTCGCAATGGCTTATGCCTGTAATCCCAGCACTTTGGGAGGCTGAGGCAGGTGGATCACGAGGTCAAGAAATCAAGACCAGCCTGACCAACATGGTGAAGTCCCCTCTCTGCTAAAAATACAAAAATTAGCCAGGTGTGGTGGCATGTGCCTATAGTCCCAGCTACTTGGGAGGCTGAGGCAGGAGAATCACTTGAACCCAATAAGCCAGGGTTGCAGTGAGCTGAGATCATGCCACTGCACTCCAGCCTAGTGACAGAACAAGACTCTGTCTCACAAAAGAGAAAAAGGTCTATATATGAAGAATGAGAAAAGAGAAAACCACCACATACCTTCCCTCACCCCAGCCCCCACCCCAGCTCCTTCCCATGCCTGGCTCCTTAAACACTGATGATCAAGGAGAGACCTGGTACAGATGCCAGATGGTCTGGGGCCAGCCAAGGCTCACCAGGCATTTGAGGAAAACCTCTAACTCAAAAGAGAGCCTACAGCAAGCCAGGAGGAACACATGGATTCTACGTTGCTAGGGCGCCTTGAAGGCTCCCCACCTCCCTCCACTCAGCTTACCATCTTCTCAAAGAAAGCCAAACAGGACAGCCTGGCCTGTGTCGTGGGCTGCTTGTCCGGGTCTCTGGACACTGTCTTTCCTTCCCACACCAGCCCCATCTCTCTGCACAGAAGTATGCCCCGTGGATTATACCACCATACCTACAGGAGGAAGAGACTCTTAGGAATGAACCCAGCTGAATTCACCCTGTAGTGTGCTGGTAAATGTTTAATGATGAGCTCTCTGGAAAAAAGAAACCCCAATTTGTAGGCATTTGCTCACTTCCGTGGTGTAAATGCTCCCACCACAGCTGATTTCAAACTGCTGACAGGAAGTCACTGATTGTGGAGTGGGGAAGACCTGGGCCCAACCAGCTCTTACAGGCCAGTATGTGCTGGCTCCAGCACACCACTGGGGTGCCTTCTGAATGGCAGTGACTAGGGACTCACTCAAGCCACTGCTATGAATCCAGTGCCCTCTGCCTCCATCCCCCTCTTCCATGCCCCATGCCCCATGAGCCCAACTAGCTTCAGAGTCAGCTCTTCTGGACCAGAGGAGACAGCAAGGATGGGAAATGCATCCCCCACCAACAAACTACAAGTCAGAAGCAGCAGCTTTATGTAAAACTGGGGCTGGAAGGGGACTCCTTAGAGACTATGTTCATTCCCCGAATTCTTCCTCATTCTGCTCCTCCAACTGGGGTAAAATGATCTTGTAAGAAAGCAGGAATCCACTGGGCACAGTGGCTCATGCCTGTAATCCCTGCACTTTGGGAGGCCGAAGCGGGTGGATCACCTGAGGTCAGGAGTTCAAGACCAGCTTGATCAACATGGTGAAACTTTGTCTTTACTAAATATACAAAAATTAGCCAGGTGTGGTGGCGGGTGCCTATAATCCCAGCTACTTGGGAGGCTGAGGCAGGAGAATCACCTGAACCCAGGAGAAGGAGGTTGCAGTGAGCCAAGATCGTACCATTGCCCTCCAGCCTGGCTGACAGAGCAAAAGTCCATCTCAAAAAATAATAATAATAAAAATAAAAATAAAGCAGGAGTCATGGACAGTCGATGAATCACTTCCTTTTATTCTTTTCTTTTCTTTTTTTGACGGAGTCTCACTCTGTCACCCAGGCTGGAGTGCAATGGCATCATCTTGGTTTACTGCAACCTCCACCTCCTGGTTTCAAGCGATTCTCATTCCTCAGCCTCACAAGTAGCTGGGATTACAGGCACCCACCATCGTGCCCAGATAATTTTTGTATTTTTATAGAGACAGGGTTTCACCATGTTGGCCAGGCTGGTCTTGAACTCCTGACCTCAGGTGATCCGCCCACCTCGGCCTCCCAAAGTACAGGCATGAGCCACCACGCCCAGCCTCTCCTCTTTATTTTTGGCGGGGTCCAAGCTTGGCCCATGGGGAGGCTGGAGCCAGGATTGGCTTTGCTTGGGACTCAAGCACTGGAGCAGGGCTGAGTTTACTTTTGGGGTTAGGGAGCTGAGAATCAAGTCCTTCCAAGTCTTTAGAGACTCTGAACATAACCTTACTCTACAACATCCCCATGGCCTCAATTTACCAACCCACAGCCACCCATTCAGATCCAGGGAAAGAAAGGACAAACTTTAACTTCTGCTGAGAAGACAGACCTCCCTTTATCATTGTTGATAGGTGGGCAGAGCACAGCTGCCGTAGCCCGAATACAAATTGCTCCTCCTGCAGTGAGCAATCCTTCCCCTCGGGGACCTGAGGTCACAGGGGTGAGGGTGCAGGTGGGGGGCTTCTGGTTGGCTCAGGCCTAGGAGCGCCACAAGACCAAATTGGCAGGAGGCACATCAAAGCGCTTGCGGCTGTGGTCAGTGTCCCGGCGGTACAGGTAGCCACAGGTCGGCTTCTGCAAGGTGTAGAAGGGGTTCAGGGAGTTGGAGTACTGGGAGGTGTAGAAATTGAACCTGAGCTTGTCTGGGCTCTGCCCCTGAGAGTCCACCACCACCGGCACATAGGCTGCTGCCAGAGACTGCTCGCGGTCCTGCGTCCATGCCCGGGACAGGGGCGGGTGTGGAGCCTTCACCCTTTTGCATGACAGTGTCTTCGGCCCATGTCTGGGTACAGAGGGTTGCTGTGAGTCCTGGGAGTGGGGAAAGAAGGGGAGAGCTGAGGCATTGGACACTGGGACTTCAACTGCTCTGCCAGGGCAGGAGGGAGGAGAAGGAGCCACAACTCAAAAGCCCCCAGAGCTACTCTGTAGCACTGCTGTGCTGGCTGTGGAGCCAGGGACCTCCAGAGCAGGGGAGAGCCATCAAGGTCCCCTGACCTGGCCCCTGCTGCTGCAGAACTCTGCCTACCTACCAGAGGCAACTGTCAGCTCCCAGAGACTAGGAACCTGGGGATTGGCTTCAGTCCCTCCTACCCTCTTCTTCTGCATCCAGTCCTTCTGTCCTTGTCCTTCCATGGCTTCCGTGTGGCCCTCCTCTCCCTCTTCTCTGCCACAGCTCCTTCAGGCCTTCACCCTCTCTCTCCTGTGGGGGCCCTTGCAGCTTTCCCTCCACCAGGGTTTCCTGTCTCCCACTCTCCTCCTTAGTCACGCTGTGCTTCACACTCACACCAGAATAAGCCTTACTGTATTTGCGGCCAGATCACTTGGCTCTCCTCCTCAAGGCATCTTTTGTGCTCCACTGCCTAGAAAATAAGCCTAGGCCGGGAGCAGTGGCTCATGCCTGTAATCCCAGCACTTTGAGAGGCCAAGGCGAGTGGATCACGTAAGGTCAGAAGTTTGAGACCAGCCTGGTCAACATGGTGAAACCCTGTCTCTACTAAAAATACAAAAATTGGCTGGGTGCGGTGGCTAATGCCTGTAATCCAGGCACTTTGGGAGGCCGAGATGGGCAGATTACAAGGTCAAGAGATTAAGACCATCCTGGCCAACATGGTGAAACCCTGTCTCTACTAAAAAATACAAAAATTAGCTGGGCATGGTGGTGCATGCCTGTAATCCCAGTTACTTGGGAGGCTGAGGCAGGAGAATCACTTGAACCCAGGAGGCAGAGGTTGCAGTAAGCCGAGATTGCACCACTGCACTCCAGCCTGGTGACAGAGCGAGACTTCATCTCAAAAAAAAAACAAAAAACAAAAAACAAAAATTAAGCAAGCATGGTGGCATATGCCTATAGTCCCAGCTACTTGGGAGGCTGAGTCAGTAGAGTTGCTTGAACCTGGGAGACAGAGGTTGCAGTGAGCCAAGAATGCTCTACTGCACCCCAGCCTGGGTGACAGAGCAAGATCCTGTCTCAAAAAAAAAAAAAAAGAAAAAGGAAAGAAAGAAATATAAAGCCTAAAAGCCCTGAGCCTGGAATGCAAGACCTTTAAGAATGTGGCCCCTAAGCAGGGTGCGATGGTTCATGCCTGTAATCCCAGCACTTTGGGAGGCCAAGGCTGGCGGATCACCTAAGTTCAGGAGTTCAAGACCAGCCTGGCCAACATGGTGAAACTCCATCTCTACTAAAAATACAAAAATTAGCTGGGCGTTGTGGTGGGTGCCTGTAATCCCAGCTACTGGGGAGGCTAAAGCAGGAGAATTGCTGAACCTTGGAGGCAGAGGTTGTGGTGAGCCAAGATGGTGTCATTGCACTCCAGCCTGGGCAACAAGAGCAAAACTCCGTCGAAAAAAAAAAAAGGTGACATTTTGGGCTGGATAATAGAAAAAGAAAAGAAAAGACCAGACACAGTGGATCACACCTGTAATCTCAGCACTTTGGGAGGCCGAGGTGGATGGATCATGGCGTTCAAGACCAGCCTGGCCAAGATGGTGAAACCCTGTTTCTACTAAAAATACAAAAATTAGCTAGGCTTGGTGTCGGATGCCTGTAATTCCTGCTACTCAGGAGGCTGAGGCAGAGAATTGCTTGAACCCAGCAGAGGCAGAGGTTGCAGTGAGCTGAGATCACACCATTGCACTCCAGCCTGGGTGACAGAGTGAGACTCCATCTTAAAAACAACAACAACAAAAAGAACATGGCTTCCACTCTCCAGTGCCTCCATCCCTCCACCCACCCTGCATTCCAGCCACACAGTCTACCTCTCATTCCCTGCTCACATCCGGCACTTCCAGAGCCTGTCCCTCTGCTCAGGTGTTTCCCAGCCCTGCATGCCCTCCCTAGGGACATTCTGTCTTTCCCATTAGAGCTTCAGCTCCTTAAGGACAACGGTCTCATACCCTTACCCTTGACATAACAGCCTGCAAAATCCTATTTCCTCTTTTACTCTAGACGAATGCATTTAGAGAAAGTTCAATAAATGTTGGTTCGGGGAACTGAATTCTAGTAAGGGGTAGCTCACCTTCCAGCCAGCCAGCCCATTCTATTTTAGAACGCATCTCATTGTTACCAAATGCGTCTCCTACTCACCCACACCTACCTCATCCTAACCACCACTCTTGGTTGATTACCTATTGGGGTCTACCACTCTCTAGGAGGTCCCCATTACCACGTTCAGCACATCACACTGACATTGATTTATTCCTGTCACTACGCTTCTTGAAGGGTCACTCACTACCCTTCCTATGACCAAGCTATCCTGCACACCTTCAAATCCCCACACCATGTTCCAGGTTCCAGCTGTGCATTTTACTAGGGACTGTCCTCGAGTTGATAGTACCACCAAAGGATGGATGGGACCATCCATCCTGCATGTGCGTCAGCTGGCTCTGTTCTAGTCCACCAGTCTTCAGCTGTCAGGGAAACCCATTTCCTCTCCCCCAGCCTCATAGCCCTCCAGCCTCCAGGCATGGAGAGCACCCCTAGCTATAGGGTTAGTGGAAGCTAAGCCCCAGCCCTATTTTTTTTTTGAGACTAAGTCTCACTTTGTTGCCCAGGCTAGAGTGCAATGGCATGATCTTGGCTCACTGCAACCTCCACCTCCTGGGCTCAAGCAATTCTCATGCCTCAGCCTCCCAAGTAGCAGGGACTACAAAGTATGTGCCACCACACCAGCTAATTTTATATTTTTAGTAGAGATGGGGTTTCACCATATTGCCCAAGCTGGTCTCGAACTCCTGAACTCAGGTGATCCACCCACCCCTCGGCCACCCAAAAAGTGTTCGGATTACAGGTAAGAGCCACCCGGCCCCTCTTAGAAAAGAACTCCTGTGCTCAAGTTATTATGTAGTTCCTTTTTTTTTGAGATAGAGTCTCACCCTTGTTGCCCAAACTGGAGTCCAGTGGCCCAATCTCAGCTCACTGCAACCTCTGCCTCCTGGGTTCAAGCGATTCTCCTGCCTCAGCCTCCCGAGTAGCTGAGATTACAGGCATGCGCCACCACACCCAACTAATTTTTTTGTTTTTTGAGACAGAGTTTCGCTCTTGTTATCCAGGCTGGAGTGCAATGGTGTGATCTCGGCTCACTGCAACCTCCGCCTCCCGGGTTCATGCAATTCTCCTGCCTCAGCCTCCTGAGTAGCTGGGATTATAGGCACACGCCACCATGCCCAGCGAATTTTTTGTATTTTTAGTAGAGATGGCGTTTCTCCATGTTGGTCAGGCTGGTCTCAAACTCCCTACCTCAGGTGATCCACCCACCTCGGCCTCCCAAAATGCTGATATTACAGGCATGAGCCACCACACCTGGCATGATGAGTTCCTTTGCATATAATTTACAAACTATCTGCCCAGCCCAAACTTGTCCAGGGCTTTCCTCCAAAGCAGGCTTTGTTCCTATTGGTTCCTACCCAGGTATATATGTGCCCTCAATTTTGCAAATTTGCAGTTTTCAAAATTCTTCCGATTCTTCCAAGTTCAGCAGCAGACTTAAAACCTTCTCCAGGAACCCCTGAAGCCTCCTGCAGCCCCTGCCTGATCTCGTCCTCTTCTGCGCCTTCTGGAGCCCTCTCAGGGTGTGCTCCTTTGCTGGAGGGACCTGGGTGAGTCAGGCATACTCATTTTGAAGTCATTATTTGGAGTCCTACAGGTGCACTTGGACCGCTTTCTGCAGTCTTGTCTCATCTTAGTCCTTACGTAGTCCTTTGCTAAAGTCCTAACAGGCTGTAAAGGCTCCCAGCAGTCAGGACTGCATCCTATGCATCTCTTTGTCCCTAGAGTCTGCCCCAGTGCTGGTGCACAGCCACGAGAACGGAGCAAGTGTCCTAACGCCTTCCCAGGCTCTTCCAGGCTCAGCCCCGGGGAACAGGGGCTTATAGGCAGAGGGGCGAGCACTGGTAATGAACTGTAGTGGTCATCAAAGATTGTTTTCCAGCCAGATGCAGTGCATCACACCTGTCATCCCAATACTTTGAGAGGCTGATGTGTGAGAATTATTTGAGGCCCGGAGTTCAAGACCAGCCTGGGCAACATAGGGAGACCTTGTCTCTATTAAAATATTTAAAATTGGCTGGGCGTAGTGGCTCACGTCTATTACAGGTGGCTCACGCCTATTACTTTGGGAGGCCAAGGCAGGCAGATCACCTGAGAAGTTTGAGACCAGCCTGGCCACCTTAGGGAAACCCTGTCTCTACTAAAAATACAAACATTAGCTGGGCATGGGGGTGGGCGCCTGTAATCCCAGCTACTCAGGAGGCTGAGGCAAGAGAATCGTTTGAACTGGAAGTTCAGTGAGCTGAGGTGGAAGTTTCAGTGAGCTGAGATTGTGCCACTGCACTCCAGCCTGGGCAATGAGTGAAACTCCACCTCAAAAAATAATTAATTAATTAAAAATTAGCCAGGCATGGTGGCATGCACCTATGGTCCTAGCCACTCGGGAGGCTGAGGCAGGAGGATGGCTTGAACCTAGGAGGTTGAGGCTGCAGTGAGCCGTGATCATACACTGGAGTACAGCCTGGGTGACAGAGTGTGAACCCGTCTCAAAAAAAACCAAAAGATTGGCTGGGAGCAGTGAGCAGTGTCTCATGCCTGTGATCCCAGCACTTTGGGAGGCCAAGGCGGGTGGATCACGAAGTCAAAAGATCAAGACCATCCTGGCTAACATGGTGAAACCCCTTCTCCACTAAAAATACAAAAATTAGCTGGATGTGGTGGCACATGCCTATAGTCCCAGCTACTCAGGAGGCTGAGGCAGGAGAATTGCTTGAACCCAGGAGGTGGAGGTTGTAGTGAGCCGAGATGGTGCCACTGCATTCCAGCCTGGCAACAGAGGGAGACTCTGTCTCAAAAACAAACAAAACCCAAAAGAGTGTTTTCCACTTCAGTTTCTGAGCACCACACCAAACCCAAAGTGCTTGGATTACAGGTGTGAGTCACCATGCCCAGCCCTCCCACTTTTTTTTTTTGAGACAGTCTTGCTCTGCTGCCCAGGCTGGAGCACAGTGGTGCAATCTTTGCTCACTGCAACCTCTGCCTCCCAGATTCAAGTGATTCTTCTGCTTCAGCCTCCTGAGTAGTTGGGATTACAGGCACCTGCCACCATGCCCAGCTAATTTTTGTATTTTTACTACAGATAGCGTTTCCCCATGTTGGCCAGACTGGTCTCAAACTCCTGACCTCAGATAATCTGCCTGCCTCAGCTTCCCAAAGTGCTGGGATTATAGGTGTGAGCCACCTACAATGAAGATGCGCCCAGTTGCATCTTCAATTTCTTTCTGCCCTCATTCCGTCAACCCACTGAGCTCCTGCCAGGCATGCTGGGCAGCAGGTGATTAACCAAGGCTGCTGGGCCCAGCTCCCAGCTCACTGGAGGGCAGGGCAGCCAGATTTCCCAGTCTGACAAGAACATGGTGGCGTTTTGACTGCTGGATTCGGATTCTGGGTTCCTGGACCCTGCATGGACAGAACAACACACAGGGAAGTGTGAGGTCTACCCCATAAATCACCATCTCTTAGCAGAGCTGAGGATAGGACATGAGTTGCTTCATTCATTCATTCGCAGCCATTCCTGAGCACCTCTTGGATGCCAGGCTCTTGGTGTGAAGGTGACAAAGACGCCACACATGAGCCCAAGAGGGTCCCGTGGACGAGTATGGTGGCTCAGCTTCAGTACTCTGGACTCTTCGGACTGCAGTATCTTTGTTGGGGGGGTTGTCCTGTGGCTTGCAGAATTACAGCTCTAATCACCAGATGCTAGTAGCACCACCTCACAGTTGTGACATCAAAAATGTCTCCAGTGAGGCTGAGCACGGTGGCTGACACCTGTAATCCCAGCACTTTGGGAGGCCGAGGTGGGCAGATCACAAGGTTGGGAGTTCGAGACCAGCCTGATCAACATGGTGAAAACCCATCTTTACTAAAAATACAAAAATTAGCTGGATGAGGTGGTGTGCACCTATAATCCCAGTACTTTGGAAGGCCAAGGCGGGCGGATCACAAGGTCAGGAGTTCAAGACAAGTTTGCCAAATATGGTAAAACCCCATGATAATTTATAAAAATTATTTCATAAAAATACAAAAATTTTTTGGGCATGGTGGCACATGCCTATAGTCCCAGCTATTCAGGAGGCTGAGGCAGGAAAATTGCTTGAACCCGGGAGGTGGAGGTTGCAGTGAGCCAAGATCGTGCCACTGCATGATCTCCAGCCTGGGCTACAGAGCAAGACTCCATCTAAAAAAAAAAAAAAAAAAAGAATCTGAGCATGTGGGTTTTGTCCTCCTGACACCACAGAAGGGTCATGAAGATGAGGGAGCTGCAGAGACCCCAACCCTGTCCCTGCTCTGCACTAACTCTTAAGCCTCAGGGCTGCATCAGCCTCCTGGCCATCTTGGGCTCATGGGGCTGGGGCCAGGGGTGACAGAGGCAGGCACTTTCAGAATGGCTGGGGAACTAAGAGAGCCCACAGATGGAAGGGTGGCACTCTTTACCCACAGGATTGAGGAACTGCCAAATGTCATGCATTAGCCACTCAGCTCTGCAAAAGCTCCAAAGAGCCATTTGAGATGTTACCATTTTTCAGATAAGGAGACTGAGGCTAAGAGGCATAGCATTTGTCTAAGTTCACACAGTTTGTTGGGTAGCATGTAAGTACCTTGCAGAAGTCCCATGACTGGTGAGCATGGGAACCAGGATTCAAACTCTCTCCTCCCTCTCTTCCCCAGCCCAGGCCATGGCTTGGGCACACCTGCCCTGGGTCCACCGCAGCTGTGTTTGGGGTGCTGCTGCTGCGGCAATATGCAGGACTCTGGTGGCAGCAGGGGTAGGGGACAGCCAGGATCCCGGGACATCCAGGGATGAAGGCCTCACAAAAGCTGGGGCAGAGACAGTCCAGGGGCAGAGATGGAAGAGTAGGAGAGGAGGGAGGAGGTGGAGGAGGAGGAGGAGGAGGAGGAGGAAGAGGTAAGCTAGGCAGCACTAGCCTTGCCCCGCCCTTTCTAGGGGCCAAGCCAGCCTCCAAGTGACTTACCTCAGAGGGCTGAGACACCCCATTACCTCCCCGGGGCCTGGTGGCAGGTGAGGCCTGACTGCATAACTTTCCAGGTTAACATCAGGTTTCTTTTAACTGGCTGCTCTTTGCTCACGTGCTCCTTGTCAAGTGTGCTGGGTGTGCACACACTGTATATGTGACAAGATCACTGGTTCTCAGCCAGGGGTGATTCTTCCCTCAGAGGACATTTGGCATGTTTAAAGACATTCTGGGTTGTCACACTGTGGGGTGGGTGCCAGTGACATCCAGCGGGTAGGAGCCAGGGAGGCTGCTATGTATCCTACAATGCACAGCCCCCAAAACAAAGAATCATCAGTGCCCAATGTCAAAAGCACCAAGGTTGAGAAACCCTGGTTTAGAGGTTTCAGGAAGAAGCCCCACCTCCCCTATCTGCTTCTGTCACTTGCATTCCACAGGGGTGATGAAGTTACAGGGCAAGGAGAGGGTCTCTCCAGCCCCTCCCCTCCCTTTGGAATCCTATGATCCTATTTTCATTTGGGCTCTAAGCTAGAGCCAAAAGAAGGAATTTGGATAGAATTATCCCTCCATGGGCCAGCATGGCGGCTCATGCCTATAATCCTAGCACTTTAGGAGGCTGAGGCGGGAGGACTGCTTGAGGCCAAGAGTTTAAGACCAACCTGGCCAACATCGTGAGACTCCATCTCTATTTTTTTTTTTAAAAAAAAACAGCCAGTACTGTGCCTCACACCTGTAATCCCAGAACATTGGCTGAGGTGGGCAGATCACTTGAGCCCAGGAGTTTGAGACCAGCCTTGGCAACATAGCAAAACCCCGTCTCTACTTCAAATACAAAAATTAGCTGAGTGTGGTTGCACGTGCCTGTAATCCCAGCTATTTGCGAGACTGAGGCAGAAGAATCTCTTGAACTTGGGAGGAAGAGGTTGCAGTGAGTTGAGATCATGCTACTGCATTCCAGCCTGGGTGACAGAGTGAGACCTTGTCTCAAAAAATGAGAACTATCCCTTTATGACCCCCATCCCCACAGGCAGACCCCACAAAGGACATTTAGATATACAGTACACATATATTAATATGTACACATATACTAATATGAGTTTGTCCATTATGCCAGGGTTTAGAGTGGGGAAGTGCATGAATCAAGAGTGGGGCTTTCTGAGTAGGGCAAGAAGATCACATCTGCGATATTACTACAGGTTTTCTAGGAAGGCACCCCATCCTCTCAAATCCTCCAGGGCCACAGGCACAGGGCCTTGCCTGGTAAGAAATTCCATCAGCAGCCTCCTCACTCTAGGGGACGGACTTGTGCCTTATTGAAATGCAAATAGCACTTGGGCGTGGTGGCTAGTGAAGGTCCCCAGGGGCACCTGGTGCTGTGGAACGTGGCTTGGCTTTGGTGTTTGAAGGTCTGAGCTCCAGGCCTGACCCTGCCCTTACAGGTCAGGCGAACTTGGGCAAGTTGCTGAGCCTCTTTGAGCTTTGGTGGCCTTATCAAAACAATGGGGATAATAAGGCTATCTACTTCACCAGCTTGTTGTGGGGTGCCATGAGTGCTGGGGACCGTAAAGGCAAAGTGCAAACAGTCATTATGATCAACCTCTCGGGCAGTTACACTGATGTTTTACACACTTGTCTGAATCTACAGGAGAGCACGTTTTCCTGATGGGGAGCACAGAGGCTTTGAAAGGAGTGGTTAGGGAGGCTAGGGGTAGGCCTCAGCTTCCTTGTGTGGCTGGGTGGCATGGGGGCCTGAAGCCACCTAGCCCAGTTCAAATTCCAGCTCCCTGCAGGGCCCAGTGGCTCACACCTGTAATCTTATTGGGAGGCTGAGGTGGAAGGATTGCTTGAGCTCATGAGTTGGAGACCAGCCTGGGCAACATGGAGAGACCTTATCTCTATTTTATAATAAAGTAAAAAAAAAATAAATAAAATAACCGAGCATGGTGGCTCACACCTGTAATCTCAGCACTTTGGGAGGCTGAGGCAGGAGGATCACTTCAGGTCAGGAGTTTGAGGCCAGCCTGGGCAACATGGTGAAACCCTGGCTCTACTAAAAATATGAAAAAATTAGCCAGGCATGGTGGCATGTACCTGTAATCCCAGCTACTTGGGAGGTTGGGAGGCTGAGGTGGGAGAATTGTTTGAACACGGGAGGCAGAGATTGCAGTGAGCTGAAACTGTGCCACTGCATTCCAGCCTAGGCAACAAAGCAAGCCTCAGTCTCAAAAAAAAAAAAAAAAAAAAAAAATTCCAGCCCCCTGACTCACTAGTTGCCTGATCCTTAGGCAAATTATAATCTCTGTACTTCAATTTTCCCAAGTATAATAACAAGAGCTGTACCTCATAGGGTTAATGAGGACTTAATGAGCTACTCCATGAAAAGTGCCTAGACCTCTTAAACACTCCAAGTTTAGCTATGATGATTACTTATCTCAAGTTTGCCTTTGAGATGGGGTAACACAAACCAAACAGTCCAGGACACATTCTGCAGCAGTGAAGGGGCAGAGGAAGCAAGATGGATGGTGTCCTGTTCCCTCTCTCCACCTCCCCAGGGAGACAGCAGAGGTCCCACAGCTGGTGAGTACAAGGCAGGCAGCAGCACCAGCACCCAACGAAGCCTTTTGTAAGAGAATCCAGCTCCCAGCCACGCAGGTGAGGCTGGCTGGGGCCTTCATGCTCCTTCCTGCCAGTCAGGCTTCTGTGACCCCAGCTGCCCTTCTCCAGCCCTGTGATATCATCCCACCTTGCACATCCTGGATCAGGGCCTTTCTTGATGGTCAGATGGAACTTCTGGTGGTCAAGGGGGACTTTTGGCAGGATATTGAGAGGGCCAAGGTGGGGAGAATGTGTATGGGGCAGGGAGCATTGTGACACTTCTTTATAACACAATTCCTTCTGTCTTCCTAAGGAGGCATGAGACCATGGCTGGAGAATGACATTTCAGGACCTGGAAGTGTCTTTTTTTTTTTTTAAGATGGGGTTTCACCATGTTGGTCAGGCTGGTCTTGAACTCCCGACCTCAGGTGATCCACCCGCCTTGGCCTCCAAAGTGCTTGAATTACAGGCGTGAGCCACCACTCCTGGCCTTGGAAGTGTCTTTTAACCTTGACACTGAACCACTATGCTATTCTCTCTTCCCACAAACCCATAGAACCCTAAAACTATGGGCAGGGCGTGAATGGAGAGAGATCATCCTAATTATCCAGATACCTCCAGAAGACGTAATATCCCTCCATGCCCCAACATCACTGTCAGGAAGGCAAAGTACCCTGGCAGCTCCTCATTCTATCTATCTATCTATCTATCTATCTATCTATCTATCTATCTATCATCTATCTATCAATCATCTAACATCTACCTGCCTTCCAAACTACAGAGATGAGTGGATGAATGAATTGTTGGGTAGACAGAGGAGTGGGAGGGTGGATAGACAAGTGGATGGACTGGGTTGGCAGATAGATGGCAGATGGGCCAACCCTTGTGATTTGAGCCCTGCTTATCTCCCTAGCCTCATCCCCCTTTTCTTTTTAGGAGATGCGGTCTTGCTATGTTGCCCTGGCTGGAGTGCAGTGGCTATTCACAGGCGCAATCCCACTACTGATCAGCAAGGGAGTTTTGACCTGCTCCGTTTCCCACCTGGGACGGTTCACCCCTCCTTAGGCAACCTGGTGGTCCCCCGCTCCCGGGAGGTCACCATATTGATGCTGAACTTAGTGAGGACACCTGATCAGCACAGCACACTACAATCCAGAACTCCTGGGCTCAAGCGATCCTCCCACCTCAGCCTCCCAAGTAGCTGGACTACAGGCATGCGCCACCGCCCCTGGCACCTCATCTCTTGCTATCTTTCCCTCACTCTCTATGCAGTAGCTAGTTTCTTAGATGTGCCCCACTCTCTCACTGCCGAGCCTTTGCATATGCCATTCCTTCTCATGGACTGCTTTGAACAGGGGGTTAGGAGATGAAGGATGCATGAACAGGTGGATAGACAGATGGCTGAATGGGAGTGACCATGGGTGAGTGGATGGATGGTCAGTAAATGGACAGAAAGTGATGGTTGTGGTATAGAGGATTGCAGGCCCGGGAGTTAGACTGCCTGAGCTTGAATCCTGGCTCTACCATTTTACTAGTGTGTAACTTTGGGCAAATTAATCGACCTCTCTCTGCTTCTGTTTTCTCATCTGTAAAATGGGTAAAGTCCTTAGCTAATAGAGTTGGGCAAAGAACTTAGGACAGTGCCTGGCACAGAGTCAGCACTGAGTAAACATCAGCTATGATTATGTGTGGGTGGGTAATTGGATTGATGGGTGGGTGGCTGAATGGGCTGTCCTGTCCCCATCTTCAAAAATCAGCTCCCCTGGCCAGGCGTGGTGGCTCAGGCCTGTAATCCCAGCACTTTGGGAGGCCAAGGTGGGTGGATCATGAGGTCAGGAGTTCAAGACCAGCTTGGCCAACATGGTGAAACTCTGTCTCTACTAAAAATACAAAAAATTAGCTGGGCATGGTCGCAGGTGTCTGTAATCCCAACTACTCGGGAACCTGAAGCAGAGAATTGCTTGAACCTGGGAGGCAGAGGTTGCAGTGAGCCGAGATCACATCACTGCACTCCAGCCTGGGCAACAGAGTGAGATTATCTCAAAAAATACAAAAAAAAAATCAGCCGGGCACAGTGGCTCACGCCTGTAATCCCAGCACTTTGGGAGGCCGAGGAGGGTGGATCACCTGAGGTCGGGAGTTTGAGACCAGCCTGGCCAACATGGAGAAACCCCATCTCTACTAAAAATACAAAACTAGTCGGGCGTGGTGGTGCATGCCTGTCATCCCAGCTACTTGGGAGGCTGAAGCAGGAGAGTCACTTGAACCTGGGAGGTGGAGGTTGTGGTGAGCCAAGATCGCACCACTGCACTCCAGCCTGGGCAACAAGAGCAAAACTCTGTCTCAAAAACACAAAAAAATCAGCTTCCCCACCTCCTCACATCCTCTCTCCCCAACACCACACTTGGCAGGCAGCTCCCAGGAGTAGTGTCAGAAATCCCACATGTAGGATTGGCACGGGTTTCTCCCTGGGGTGAGGGAGAGAGGTAGACTGGGTGCCTTCCTGCCACACCAGCTTGGGCTGGGCCCAGAATTATTTGTTTTCTTCCTGGCTTTGATTTGACCCCGACAAGATGGACTTTGAGGCCGAAGGCAGACTGGAAATTGGGGTGTCGATGACTGGTGGGCTGTGCCTAGATCTCACACCCTGATGGTAATGACCCCCTAATTTCTAAGGAGGCTGGGAGGGACCAAGAGAGGAGCAGCAGCAATCAGGGCTTCCCCTGCCAGAGCCTCTGACCGGCAATCTCCAGGAGCTCTGGGGAGGGTGGGATCTTGTTTGGAAGGGAAACTGGGGACGTGGCCTTCTGGGCAGAGTGGCCAGCATCTCTGGATCTGGGGGAAAATGGCCTGAAGGAGCTATTGGGAGGGAGCCCAGGGGGCTGGGTGTGGGTTTGGGGGAGGAGGGAGCCAAGGCTTAGCACACACTAAACTTTGTCTCAGCCAAAGCCAGGCGAGGCGCTGGGCGGATAATCAGGAGAACTGAGTGACCTGAGACAAGTCCTGTTCCCTCTCACAGACGTGATGCTGGGTCTTATGTGCATCATGAGGACACTGGGTCCCTCCACCTTGGATACTTGATGTCCAAGGTGGGGAGAACTTGTGGGGGCAGGAGGCATTGACATTTGATGGTAGGCCCCTGCCAGCAATGTGCCCAGCCCAGGCCTTGTCGCCCTCACTGTGGGGACCGCACGAGGAGGCAGTGGCTGGAAAGATTGCCTTTAGGAAGTCCTGGCCAGATGAGCCACATCTGCCTTATTTCGTTTGTTTTTTGTTGTTTTGTTATTGTTTTGAGACAGAGTCTTGCTCTGTTGCCCAGGCTGAAGTGCAATGGCGCGATCTCGGCTCACTACAACCTCCACCTCCTGGGTTCTAGCTATTCTCCTGCCTCAGCCTCCCAAGTAGTTGGGATTACAGGTGCCGCCCACCATGCTCAGCTAATTTTTATATTTTTAGTAGACACAGGGTTTCACCATGTTGGCCAGGCTGGTCTCCAACTCCTGACCTCAGGTGATCCACCCGCCTTGGCCTCCCAAAGTGCTGGGATTACAGGCATGAGCCACTGATCCTGGCCTTATTCCATTTGTAAATTGCATAATGCTTAAGATCATGACCTCCAGACCCACTCTGCCTGGGTTTCAAATCCCAGCTCTGCCACTTCTCAGCTGTGTGACTTGCACAAATTACTTAACCTCTCTGTGCCTCAATTCCTAATCTGCAAAATGGGGATGATAATAGAATTTACCTTGAAGCCTTATAAGGACTTTGTGAGCTTACAGCAGTGCCTACTACCTGGTAGATGCTGTGATTTATGTTATAATTTCTAAACCCTGATAACTTCCGATTCAATCCTGCCTCCTGGAGCACCTCCTTCTCTGACTTTCCTGCCAGCTACAGGGATGACCTCATTTTATGCATCATCAAAGTCCCTGGAAGGTAAGGGCTATGGCCCATACCCAAGGTGCTGAGTGGGTGTTTGGGAAGAAAGAGGAGAGTCATGGAGACTCAGGGCTAACTTGGAGCACAGAAGGATCTTCTAACCACCCTCACACCTTGCATACACAGCTTCCTGTTCTCCTGCCTTCTCTGCTCTTGAAGTGCAGGTTAATGGTTTTAAGTGTTCTGCTACTGCCTTGCTTTAAGGAGGCCTGGTTATCTAGACATTCTCTCCACTCCTCCTTACCTGCTGTGTGATTTGGACAAATTACTTAACCTCTCTGATCTTTACTTGTTTTTCCTTTGTTGGACCTCAAGTACACAGGGCTGAGTTATTCATACTCCTTGCTTAGCAATGCATTATCATCACTGGTCCGCCTCTCTTTCTGTGTTAATTTTTCCCCTTATCTCCATTCTCCAACCACACTTCCCACGCACCCCAGCCAAAGGCAACCAACTGAATGCGCTTAATGAGTATCTTCTTGTTAATATGTGATATTGCAAAATATATATTGTTTTAAATGCAGGTAGTTTTCATTTGCCTGAGTGGTATTGTGTTTTGGGTCTCATTCTTTCGTTTACCCCTGGGACTCCCTGCTGTTGGTGATACCCTTTGTGCTGCCAATGAGCACCTCCTTCCTTGCTTCCAGCTGCTATGTTGTCCTCCATGGAGCGCACCCACCCCCTTTTATCTCTCTATGCCCCTGGATACGAACCCCCAGCTGCCTCCAGTTCCCCATCCACACAAACAACATTTCAATGACGTCACATCCATGTCCCCTTCTGGACCTGGGTGAAAGATTCTTTGAGGCATATTCCTCAGAGTAGAACTGATTGTTCATGGAGTCTGAATAAGCATCATTTGAAGTTTTCTTTTCTCCATCCATAAAATGAACATATGGGGCCAGGCGCAGTGGCTCACGCCTATACTCCCAGCATTTTGGGAGACCAAGGTGGGAGGTTCCCTTGAGGCCAGGAGTTCAAGACCAGCTTGGCCAACATGGCAAAACCCCATCTCTGCTAAAAAATAGAAAAATTAACTGAGTGTGGTGGCACACACCTGTAGTCTCAGCTACTCGGGAGGCTGAGGCAGGAGAATTGCTTGAACCCAGGAGGCAGAGGTTGCAGTGAGTCGAGATCCTGCCACTGCACTCCAGCCTGGGTGACAGAGCAAGACTCCATCTAAAAAAAAAAAAAATCCGTATGTAATTCTGACATTCTAGCTGGACCATCTTCATAGTTCTGTTCCCTTCCAATCCCTGATCATTCACAAATAGACATTTATGGTCATAATCTACAAAGAAGTTTAATTTTGTTTCATTTTTGCTTTTTGCACTTAATCCATTTTGAAACATGTAGACACGTGCACTTGTGCACACACACGTTGTTTCAGATTTTGGGATGTGTTTTATCTTGGGATTTTTTTTTTTTTTTTTTTGAGGCACTGTTTTGCTCTTGTTGCCCAGGCTGGCGTGCAATGGTGAGATCTCAGCTCATGGCGACCTCCGACTCCTGGGTTCAAGTGATTCTGGTGCCTCAGCCTCCAGAGTAGCTGGATTACAGGCATGCACCAGGCCCAGCTAATTTTGTATTTTTGTTTTTAAAGATGGGGTTTCTCCATGATGGCCAGCCTTGTCTTAAACTCCTGACCTCAGGTGATTCACCCACCTAGGCCTCCCAAAGTGCTAGGATTACAGGCGGGAGCCATCGTGCCCGGCCGATTTTGTTTTTTAGTAGAGACGGGGTTTCACCATGTTGTCCAGGATGGTCTTGATCTCTTTTTTTTTTTTTGAGACAGAGTTTCACCGACTGGAGTGCAATGGCACGATCTCGGCTCACCGCAACCTCCGCCTCCCGGGTACAAGCAATTCTCCTGCCTCAGCCTCCTGAGTAGCTGGGACTACAGGCGCGCACCACATGTCCAGCTAATTTTTGTATTTTTAGTAGAGACAGGGTTTCACCTTGTTGACCAGGATGGTCTCGATCTCTTGACCTCGTGATCCACCCGCCTCAGCCTCCCAAAGTGCTGGGATTATAGGCGTGAGCCACCGTGCCCGGCCTGCATGGTCTCAATCTCTTGATCTCATGATCTGCCCCCCTCAGCCTCCCAAAGTGCTGGGATTACAGGCACGAGCCACCACGCCCCCAGCTTATCACGGGATGTTTTTATCTGGCCTGCAAGGTGACCCTGTAGACACCTCCCCCACCCTGTCTCCCAGGTCTCAGTGGAATTTTCCTCCTTGGGGTTCTTTGTTGAATTGACACTGCTCTCCTGCAGCCTCTCATGGTCTCTGTCATGTTTTTGCTGTTCTCTGTTTAGCATGTCCAGGTCCAAAGCAGGATAGGGACGTGGGAGGGAGCACACAGGAACTGAGTACCTATGATGAGCCGGACCCTCTGCCAAGCGCTTTAACCGACTCTCTCATTGAATCTTGTAACAACCGTGTGTTTTACGATGAACCAACTGAGACTCAGAGAAGTGATAACTCTGCAAGTTCACACCCTTGAGAAGTAGCAGAGCCAGCTTCAGCCCTAGTCTGCAGCCAAGGATCTTCCCCGCAGTATCACAATCCCATCAAAGAGCCCATGGATGAAAAGGAAAATGAGTCTCTTCCCAGCACCCCTGGAACAACCAGGGCCGACCTCAGATCCCTACACCCTCAGGTGCCAGCTACACGAGAATCTCCAAGCCCCCTCACAGGATGGGTAAAATTCTAGCCATCCAGAGTCCCTCAGCCTGACACCCTCTCCTTGAATCCAGCCAGCCCAGAGGAAAGCAGAGGTAGCTGGGATTGAAGCCCACCCTCTGCTGAAGGCCTAAAGGAACAGCCTCAGGAGCTGATGTGGGATAAGTTGTCTCCTGATCAGAAACAAAAGGCCCAACAGAATGATCCACATCCCCTCATCCTCTGGGATTTGAGAGGAATTCTGATTCAGCCTCTGAAGAGCTGGCAGCAGAGACCCAGGGTGGGGACAAAGGCAACTCTCGGGAGGTTTCGGCCTCCCCTTCCCCTACTCAAGTCCACTCTGCTGGGTGCGGTGGCTCATGCCTGTAATCCCAGCACTTTGGGAGGCCGAGGTGGGTGGATCATGGGGTCAGGAGTTCAAGACCAGCTTAGGCAAGATAGTGAAACCCTGTCTCTACTAAAAATACGAAACTTAGCCGGGCGTGGTGGTGGGTACTTGTAATCCCAGCTACTTGAGAGGCTAAGGCAGAAAACTGCTTGAACCCAGGGGGTATAGGGTGCAGTGAGCTGAGATCGTGCCACTGAACTCCAGCCTGGGCAACAGATCGAGACTCCATCTCAAAAAAAAAAAAAGAGTCCACTCTCCAAGTCTGGAGCCCTTGGTATTTTGGGAGGAAAGACTACAGGCTCGACAAAAAACCTGATTGGGTCTCTGGGGAGACTGCAACTACTTACTAGTCCCCAATCCCACCTCACATTCCAGAGCTGTGCAGTCAAGTCAGCTCTTAGGAGGTTACTGAGTAATTGCTGAGCAGAAATATAATGATAGGATGGGGCTTTTGTCTGTTTCAAGGGGAGCCTATTATTTGGCTGCTTCTGTTCCTGGGAGACAGGTGTGAGGTGTGGTTATTAGATGACAAAGTGGAGGCTGAGCATCAACAGTACAGAGTGCTGAGCTGGACAGAGGATGAGGCCCTGCCCCTGCCCCAGGGAGCTCAGCCTCAAAAGCTGCCAGGCTAATGGGATGAAACTGATGAATTTGTGGGGACTGCTCACTGCAGAGCCTAGAGCTTCTAGAGACTCCTCCTCCTGCCCCTGTGCACAAGCCCAGGAGGGGACAATGTTACTGCTCTCATGCTAGACAAAGAAACTGACTCAGAAGATTTCCCCCTATGTACCAAGCCCTTTCCTCCTTTTCTTTTCCTTTTTTTTTTTTTTTTTTTTTTTTTTGAGATGGAGTCTTACTCTGTCACCTGGGCTAGAGTGCAATGTGCAATCACGGCTCGCTGCAAATTCCCCCTCCCAGGTTCAAGCAAATCTCCTACCTCAGCTTCCTGAGTAGTTGGGATTAGAGGTGCATGCCACCACACCTGGCTAATTTTTTTATTTTTCCTAGAGATGGGGTTTCACCATGTTGGCCAGGCTGGTCTTGAACTCCTGACCTCAGTTAATCTACCTGCCTCAGCCTCCCAAAAAGTCCTGGGATTACAGGTGTGAGCCACTGTGCCCCACCACCATTCCTTTCTTCCTAGGAAATGTCCCACAAACTAACAACTCTGCTCTGTTTTCACCACCAGCACACAGGTCCTGGCCCCTGGCCCCTCCTGCTTATATCAATTAATCAATTGGCTAATCAATTAACTCATCAATTAGCCCCTCAGCCTACATGCTCTCCTTTCTATCCATCATCCATCCAGCTGTTAGATGAACATCCTTAAAAC